AGGCACTTGTAATCCCAGCTACTCGGGAGTCTGAGGCAGAGAACTGCCTGAACCCGGGAGGTGGAGGTTGCAGTGAGCTGAGATTGCCCCACTGCACTCTAGCCTGGGCAACAGAGCAAAACTCCATCTCAAAAAACAAAATCGATTTGTAGGCATATACTGAAGATAAATAAAAACATAAGTCTGCATAAAAACTTGTGCATGGCACATGAATTTGAAAGCAGCGTTATTCATAATATCTAAAAAAGTGAAAACAACCCAAACGTCCACCAACCGATGTATGAATAGAATACAATGTGGTATACATTTCACTGCAGTATCATTTGTCAAGAAGAATAAATGAAGCAGTGGTATATGCTACAGCATGAACGAACCTTGGAAACAGTATGCTAAGCGAAGGAAACTAGCTCCAAAAGACCATACGTTCTATGATTGTACTCTTCTGATATGTCCAGACTCAGCAGGTCTTTACAGATAGAAAGTGGATTGATGGTTGCCAAGGGCTGATGGGATAATGACAAAGGGGTACAGAGTTCGTTCTGGGGAAAATAAAAATGTTCTAAAATGGATAGTGTGATAGATGCACGACCCTATGAATATATGCTAAAAGCCATTTAATCGTGCACTTTAAATGGGCAGATTGCCCAGCATACAAATGAAATCTCAACAAAGCCAGCTATTGAAAGAAGTCACATATAGACATGGAAGTAAACACTTAAAGAGTTCTTCCTGAATTAATCATCATAGAAGTCAGTCCCAGCCGGGCGCACTGGCTCATGCCTGTATTCTCAGCACTTTGGGAGGTTGAGGCAGGTGGATTGCCTGAGCTCAGGAGATCGAGACCAGCCTGGCCAACATGGTGAAACCCTGTCTCTACTAAAACACAAAAAATTAGCTGGGCGTGACGTGACGGCACATGCCTGTAATCCCAGCTACTGGGGAGGTTGAGGCAGGAGAATCACTTGAACCCAGGAGGGGGAGGTTGCAGTGAGTCAAGATCACACCACTGCACTCCAGCCTGGGCTCCGTCTCCATAAAAAAAAAAAATTAGTCACAAATTACTAATCCAGTCAGAAAAAACTGGGATCAGCCAGGCATGGTACTTCATGCCTGTAATCCCACCATTCCAGAGCTGTGGGAGGCCAAGGCAGGAAGATTGCTTGAGCCCAGGAGTTCAAGAACAGCCTGGAAAACATGGCGAGGTGCCGTCTCTGAAAAAAGAGAAAGAAATTGAGTTCACTGGGAAATTGCAAACTTAGAGGAACACTAAATGCACACTACGGCAAGGCATTATCAGAGACACTCAGAAATGGAGCATATGGAAAAGGAAATAAATCCATGGCCCTCCAATTTACAGAACTCACTTCAAACCTTAAAGCCAGGGATGATGAGACGTGAGAATTCTGTTTCTCAGTTAACCTAGAATCAAGTCTAAAACGGTGAAAAAAATAGATGTAGATGCTGCCAATAGCAGGGACTTTGGAAAAATGTGTCCAGCATCAGAGGAGGAGGCAAGGTAAAAGGATTTTGAAAAGAAAAGTCAAAGAAGGCAAGGCAGTCAGACACCAGGCGCGTTTATCCGTCAAACCATAAAGCACGAATGTCGAAAACCACAGCGATGACAGTTCCCTGCAACCTCACCGAAGCTGCCAAATTACAGTAGCTTGTTCGTGGTGGGGAACCAGTCATTTTCTCACGCGATTACCATATTTCTAAAAAGCATAATAGTTTTGTTGGAAATGCTCAGTATTTTATTGATGTGGGGTACTAGAACAAGACACGATTTATCTCAGAGTGAAACAGGTGAGGTTTTTCCTGACTGTGGCAGGTCACATTTGAAGCAGGGCAAATGTCAGATTTATCCTTTTGGTCTTGTCTTGAAAGCAAAAGGCTGGTTGTAGCCAACAGAGCTCTTGCTGGCATAATTCCAAAGGCCATAAGAGTTCTTGGCTATGTCTTCTGTTCTCTCGTTCAGAAGAAAAGAAATCACTGATTGGATTAGCTTTCTACTGATGCCTAATAAATCACATCAAAATAGCAGTTTAAAACAGCACCTGCTAATCACCTCACCGTTCTGGAGGTCAGAAGTCCAGGTGGCTTGACTGGCTTCTCTGCTTCGAGGTCTCATGAGGCTGACATCGAGGTGTTGGCCAGGCGGGGTTTTTATCTGAAGGCTCCGGGAAGAACCCATTTCCTGCTTGCTCGGGATGCTGGCAGAGTTCTTTTCTATGCAGCTGTAGGACTGGGGACCTTGTTTCCTTTCTGGTTGCCAGCTAGCGGTGAAGAGCCACAGTCCTCCTCTATGTGAAGCCCTGTGTGTCTTCAAACCAGTGGTGGCACTTCTCTTCCTTCTTGTGGTCGGGCTCTTTCTTCTTCTGCCTTCTCTTCTACCTCCCTCTTCTCCCATCAGCTAGGGAAAGTCCTCTATATTTAAGGACTTATGTAATTAGATTAGGCTCACACAGATAATCTCATAGGTTAATCTCTGAATCTTCAGGCCAGCTGACTTGGGACCTTAATTGCGACTACAAAATCCCTTCGTGGCGGTGCCTGGATGAACGTTTGCCCAATAACCAGGGATGGGAACCTTGGAGCATGGAGGCCCTTTTAGGACTCTGCCCACCACATATATAGACATAAAGACACACGAAGGCCTATTTCTAGTTGACACAAGTGCCACTCTGTCTATCGTGAACCCCACAGCAATAAAACTATCAGTCACTCAGAGAAATCAGTGGGTTACTACAGTGGGTATTTCAAACCCACTTCTCTACCCATAGCCTTGGCCAACATACAAGGACCAACAGAAGAAAACACTGATTTCTCCTCCATGGCTTCGTGCCTCTCAACCCACCTTGCAGAGGCCCTTTATATAAATGCAGCTGTCAGATTAAGTGCCCACCTGAAAGACCATTCTTGGAAAATAAAGAACCACTAGAAACCCAATTTCACAGCATGCTATTTCTGCACTGACTTTCTCAAACTTGCCTAGACTGTCACTCTTGAAACTGTAGGTAACTTCCTCCAGCTGGCACATTGCATTTATGAGCAAAAGCTCTGTTGGTGGAGGACATACAATAGGAATGGAGCTTAAAAAGACACAGGTGGGTCCTCCCAAGTCCTTGCGTAAGCCACTCTAATGTCCTCTGAAAGTAGAAGTTGTTCAGGAATAAAACCAATTATACATTTGCAGATCAAAAACTGCTTACAGAACCCTGTGTATTGCCTTTCTACAAACCTAATGGAAAGGGAAGGATGCTCATTTGTTCAAGACTTAAGAAACATTCTTAAAGTTATTCCCAGATTTCCCACAGTGCCCCATTCTAACGCTATTCTATCTCCAGTTCCACTTACAAGGCAATAGTTCACTGTGGTAGACCTTTCTCAGCCTTCCTTGTCATCTCCGTAAACATAGTCGATAGGTATTTTCTTTATTTGGAATGATTAAGAGTCTACAGGTATTTGGGCAGTAATACCTCAGAAACACCTCATATTCCTTCCAGTCCTTTTTTTTTTTTTTTTTTTTTTTTTGGACCGGGTTGAGTTCCATTACCAAGCTGGAGTAAGGTGGCTCGATCTCAGCTCACTGCAAACTTTGCCTCCTGGGTTCAAGCGATTCTCGTGCCTCAGCCTCCCAAGTAGCTGGGATTACAGGCACGCGCTGCCACACCCACCTAGTTTTTGTATTTTGAGTAGAGATGGGGTATCAGCATGTTGGCCAGGATGGTCTCAATCTCCTGACCTTGTAATCTTCCCGCCTCAGCTTCCCAAAGTGTTGGGATTACAGGCGTGAGCCACTGCACCTGGCCATTCCTTCCAGTCTTTAAATCATGATTTAAAGGACATAACACTCCCAAAAGGTTACAATTTCATTCAATATAGAAGACTTGCTCTCATGTATACCTCTCCTGGAAAGCCCTCAAAAGGACTCAGTCCACCTCCTAAAGGAGCAAGTGGCTAAATATGATAAAGCCTCAAAGAAAAAATGACAATTTTGCCAAGAGGTGGTATATGATTTAAGAGGTGACCTCTCCACCAACAGGCATGCTCTATCCAAAAATAGGACACTCATGGGATTTGGGAAACTTGAGAGGTATGAAAAGCAATTGATTCCCAATTTTTCCAGCATAACTTGACTCCTCCACAAACTTACCAAAAACAAGCAACCAGAAAAGTTCCCTGATGAAACTGACCTTGCGTCTCTGAAAACTGTCGCAGCAGGCCCAATACCAGCTCTAGCTCAACAACATCTTCATTTACCTTACACCCTTTTGGCAACATTTCCTTTGGCTGAAGCAAAAAGGAGGCGGCATGGGGAACCAAAAACAGGCTTTGGTTCAACAACATGGGAAGCACCAGAAACCAGCCCGGATTTAGGCACTTCTCTAGACTCAGTGGCTAGAGTTTTCTTCCTTGTTATGTGCCTTAACGGTGGTTGCAAAACGGTCAGTGCTTCTGTAGATATTATCCTTGTTGCACCATGAACCCCACGGGCCGCACCTGCTGTTCATTCCTTACTACCAACGAGCAACAGCCAAGACGGCTCTGCAAGCCCATCAGCTAGGGCTGGCTGCTGCTGCTGGCCTCTCACGTTACCATCTGTCAGTCTTATCATCTCAGTCTCGCAGCACTGCCGCCACCACCTGAAGAAGAACCCGGGACTATAACACAGCAACCATGAAGTTGAGTATCTCCAAGGAAGATCTAGCTGATGTTCTAAAGAATCTGGAGCAAGCATTCTTTTTTTTTTTTTTTTTTTAATTTTTTATTGGATTTTAGGTTTTGGGGTACATGAGCAGAGCATGTAAGACAGTTGCATAGGAACACACATGGCAGTGTGCTTTTCTTTCCTTCTCCCCTTCACCCACATTTGGCATTTCTCCCCAGGCTATCCCTCCCCACCTCCCCCTCCCACTGGCCCTCCCCTTTTCCCCGCAATAGACCCCAGTGTTTAGTACTCCCCTTTCTGTGTCCATGTGTTCTCATTTTTCATCACCCACCTATGAGTGAGAATATGCGGTGTTTCATTTTCTGTTCTTGTGTCAGTTTCCTGAGGATGACGTTCTCCAGATTCATCCATGTCCCTACAAACGACACAAACTCATCATTTCTGATTGCTGCATAATATTCCACGGTGTATATGTGCCACATTTTAGAATTTACAAAGAACTCAAATGGATTTACAGGAAAAAAACAAACAAGCCCATTCAAAAGTGGGCAAAGGATATGAACAGACACTTTACGAAAGAAGACATACATGAGGCCAACAAACATAAAAAAATGCTCATCGTCACTGGTCATCAGAGAGATGCAAATCAAAACCACAGTGAGATACCATCTCACGCCAGTTAGAATGGCGATCATTAAAAAATCTGGAGACAACAGATGCTGGAGAGGATGTGGAGAAAAAGGAACACTTTTACACTGTTGGTGGGAGTGTAAATTAGTTCAACCATTGTGGAAGACAGTGTGGCGATTCCTCAAGGCCTTAGAAATAGAAATTCCATTTGATCCAGCAATCCCATTACTGGGTATATATCCAAAAGACTATAAATCGTTCTACTATAAGGACACATGCACACGAATGTTCATTGCAGCACTGTTTACAATAGCAAAGACCTGGAATCCACCCCAATGCCCATTGATGATAGACTGGATTGCAAGCATTCTTTTTAAATGATCAAGGTCAATACCACTGGAGTTATGCAGTGACAACATAAAGCCGTATTAGGGCCAGGAGCAGTGGCTCATGCCTGTAATCCCAGCACTTTGGGAGGCCGAGGCAGGCGGATCACCTGAGGTCAGGAGTTCAAGACCAGCATGGCCAACATGCTGAAACCCCATCTCTACTAAAACTACAAAAAATTAGCCGGGTGTGGTGGCGTGCACCTGTAGTCCTAGCTACTTGGGAGGCTGAGGCAGGAGAATTGCTTGAACCCAGGAGGCAGAGGCTGCAGTGAGACAAGACCGCGCCATTGCACTCTAGCCTGGGCAACAACATAAACTCTGTCTCAAACAAACAAACAACAACAAAGAAAAACTGTATTAGAAGATACCTTTCACTCAAAGTTGAGCCAGCTCAAATACTAGAACTAGTAGCCCTTACCAGAGCTGGTGTCGAAAGGAACACACGTACACACACACACACACACACACACACACACACACACACACACAGCTATTATGCCTTCGGTGTTGTACATAATTTGGTGATACTGTGGCACTGAAGGAATAGCTGACCTCATCAGGGAGGCCTAAAAAATGGAGAAGAAATAGATTTATTAGAAGCATGCCCAAAAGGCATACAATTAAAAGTGAAGGCACATAGTACAAGCAACAATAAGGTGACGGGATTGCATTGGCAGATATTAAACAAAGGAAGTACACTTTTCCCCTTGCTCTTAGGAGTTATTCATGATGAAGAAAATGTAAAAAAAAAATTGTTTTTTTTTAACACACAATTTTTTTCAGACAGAGTATTTAACCCTAGATTCAGAAAACAGAAACACTGGGCCAGGCATGGTGGCTCACACCCATAATCTCAGCACTTTGGGAGGCTGAGGCAGGCAGATCACCTGAGGTCAGGAGTTTGAGACCAGCCTGGCCAACATGGTGAAACCCTGTCTCTAATAAAAATACAAAAACTAGCCAGGCGTGCTGATGTATGCCATCTACTCGGGAGGCTGAGGCAGGAGAATGGCTTGAAGCTGAGAGGCGGAGGTTGCAGTGAGCGGAGACTGCGCCACAGCACTCCAGCCTGGGTGACGGAGTAAGACTCTGTCTCAAAGAAAAGAAAATAGAAACACTGGTTAAAATCAGGTTGTTGGATCAATTTCAGTAGTCTCTAATGCAGCAAGGCTGGCCACCTGGTTACACCAAAAAACTGAGGAAAACATTGACCAAAATGCACAACGCTGCTTCCACCACGAATAAATTAGTGGGGACACTTCCCCTCGGTAGCTAGAGATGTGAAAGGCCTATGCCTCATCTGTACTATCATAACCACACCCCCACACAAAAAGAAAAACCGTGATGGTGGGACACAGACAGCCTGAGCCATATCCCAGAGGACTTTGAAACACTTAAAGATGGGTTTTATCCACTTTCCCAATTCACCAGATGACGCACATGTACTAGGGTTGCCTGTAAATTCTCTGAAGGTGAGCTCTTCTCAAGTAGAAAAGCCACTGCAACAACTAAACTAAAAAATAAATCAAGTTAGGCAATGGTTTTTCCCACCTGGGAGGTGAACCTTACTAAAGTTAAAGGCACTCATTTACTGGAGTAGTCATAAAGGAACTTGGAGAGCTGTTACTAGTTCATCAAAAATCTAGGCCAGGCACGGTGACTCACACCTGTAATCCCAACACTCTGGGAGGCTGAGGCAGGTGGATCACCTGAGGTCAGGAGTTCAAGACCAGCCTGTACAACATGGTGAAATCTCATGAACTAAAATACAAAAATTAGCCGGGTGTGGTGGTACATGCCTATAGTCCCAGCTACTTGGGAGGCTGAGGCAGGAGAATCAGTTGAATCTGGGAGGCAGAGGTTGCAGTGAGCTGAGATCATGTCATTGCACTCCAGCCTGGGCGACAGAGTGAGACTCCACCTCAAAAAAAAAGAAATCTTGTTACCCTTACCCTCCACAGTTCCCAAGACAGGTAGCGGTACAAATGTAACTACACAACTGAAGTTGGCAGTGATGTGTGCCTACTACCCCAGCTATCTGGAAGCTTTTTGTTTTTCTTTTTTCTTGTTTCTGGCTTTCTGTCCTGCTTTGGAGGCAGGAAAACTGCTTGAGGCCAGGAGTTCAAGAGCAGCCTGGGCAACATAGTGAGGTCCTGTCTCCAAAAAAATAAAACAAAGTACAATACATTAGCCAGGGATGATGTCATGCCCCTGCAGTCCCAACCACTTGGGAGGCTGAGGTGAGAGGATCACTTGAGCCCAGGAGTTTGAGACTGCAGTGAGCTATAATTGCACTACTGCATGCCAGCCTGGGCAACAGATAAAGACCTCTGTCTCTGAAACACAAAAATAATAAAACTGGTTAAGTTATCTGAAGCTCTTAAACATCCCCGTAGCTGAGATTTTTACCCCTAGTGGACATCAGGTCAGCCTGTTCTGGAACTTATAGACTGTAACCTTATGAATTAACAAGTACAAAAGACCCATGCACCTGTAAATTTTACCATTTGTTATTGATTTGACCTTGCTTCAGGAAGACCTAGCTAAATACTGTCAAAGAGAAATTCAATAATTATTCTTATCTTCCATGAGTGCAAACTAGATTTTCAAAAACCTCACCCTCAGAGCCTCTACACTCCTTCAATCTTGGTATTAGGTATTCTGGAAAACACACCAGTTAGAAATATTCTCTGGAGACACTCTGGAAAGGATTCTAGGAAGGAGATGGCAGAAATGGCCCATCTAGAGTGGCTGTTGCCAAGATGCCAGATGCAGCAGGAAGGCAGGCCCCATCCCCAGGAGCAGGCCAGACCCCTGCCCTTCCCGGTGCCTCTGCACTGCCTTCCCAGGTACAACACCCAGCCATGTCTACAGTCTGCACCCTTGGGGGCCTGGGAAGCTCCCTGTCTCCACAGGCTCAGGGGATTCTGCTCCACTGCCTGGTCTCTCCCAGCTCTCAGCACCCACTTTGATCTTGGAGTAGGGTTGGGGCCAAGCCTGGGCACTGTCACAGCCCAACTGGGTGTATATACACTTGGGGCAGCACTCACACACAGCTACCTGCCACCTCAGCTCCCTACAGGCTTTGGGCGCCCACGAGCATGGGAGGGCAAGCCAAGGAGGGCCTGAGGGCAGCTTGGTGCTGGCCTGCAGGTGCCCCTTGGCTCAAGCAGCCTGGGTGCCATGGACAGCAGCAGGAGGCAGACAGGTTCCTTGGTGGAAGGGGGTAGGTCCCCAGTGAAGCCCTACCTTCAGGCTGAGGAAGGCCTGAAGCCTGGGGGCTAGGCTGCCAGTCCTGTGGACTGGAGAGGAACTCATGGTGCTTTTTCCTAGGCCTGCCCATAGCTGCCCATGGACCAATCAGCATGCACTTCCCTGCTCTGAGGCCCATAAAAGCCCCAGGCTCAGCCAGAGCAGGAGAGATGATAAGATGACAAGCTGCAGAGAGGGACTTCCCACTCCAGCAATCAACTACCTGTAGAGAGGAGCAACACACCCCAGGGCCTCCTTTCTGCTAAGAGCTGTGGAGATGGCAGGATGACCTCCCAGTTGGAGAATTCACATTCATTGCACACTGAAAGTAGAACTTACGCTTTGAAGGCAACATTTCATATAAAATCTGTACTGAATCTGGCCAGTTTTTAACTGTGGAAGGACTTGCATTAATAAGAACTTGGATGCATTTTTAAATTCCCCATTGCTGTGAAGCATGTTTTACACCAGTCTGCTGCTCTCAATGGAAGGCAAATCTATTTGGGGGGATTGGAAATGGTGAGATCCATATCTCTATGTAAGGTATCTTTCCTTATCTTGCAGTATACAAAATCTCTATTGCCATGGTAATCATTTCAAATAAAACTATATTTGCACTATAGGCTAAAAAAAAATGAGCCTGAACTTTCTTGATGAAGTGTTACTAGACAACAGAATTGCCTTTGATTATACACTAACAGAGCACAGTGGTATTTGTGTCCTGACTAATACCTCCTATGCAGCTGGATCAATGAGAGTTCCTCACATAAAATTCAAGGACAAGCCAACCGGTTGTCCAAAGTGGGATAATGCATACAGCTGAAACCTAGTCTCATGGCTTGAGTTTGACAAAAGGAGGGGTACTTTGTAACTATTCATTATGCTGTTTCTATCTCTGTTTCTAATCATTGCTGCTCTCAAATGATTTCCAAACAGGTTCTGAAATGCTGCTGTACCATCTCTACAAACATCACGTGATCCTAAACGGAAAGGGTTCTAAAGTGGCTCTGAAAAAACACAACTGAATTCTGAAAAATTAGCACCTTTGGTAGAGAGTGATGATGACCCCAATTCTTCATCCCTCCAGTAGCCTCAGCTTTTTCCATGTGCCCCTTCTCTTTGAGACACAGGACCCCAGGACCACAGGACCCCAGGACCACAGGACCACAGGACCACAGGACCCCAGGACCCCAGGACCACAGGACCACAGGACCACAGGACCACAGGACCACAGCTGAGAGTTTAACAGGGAAAACACTCTGGCAGCACAACCCTAATCTATGCACAAGGTAAAACTAGAGAATTTTGAATCTTGTGGTTCACTGACAGTAGCCATAGCAACAGCAGAACCCAAGCCCAACTCAAATATCACCTATATTGACTCAGCTCCCCATACTAAAAGCGTAGCAGAAGAGGATGTGTTCCCATTTCTATGCAAAATGCCATTCACTTAAGCCCTTACTGTGCAACACACCATGTTTGGCTTTCAACTAAAACTTACAAGACACACAAGAAAGCAAGAAACAGAACAATCAACAGAGCCAGACTTAGGTATGACTGGATGTTGGAACCGTCAGACAGGAAATTCAAGATAACTATGATTAATATGTTGAAGCCTTGTGGAAAAGTTGACAACATACGTGAACAGATGAGGAATTTCAACCAAAAAATAAAAACTATGAGAAAGAATCAAATGGAAATGCTAGAATTAAAACAAACAAACAAATAATAGAAAAAGACCAGGAATAGTGGTGCATGCCTGTAATCCCAGCTACTCAGGATGCTGAGGCATGAGAATTGCTTGAACGAGGGAGGCAGAGATTGCAGTGAGCTGAGATCATGCCACTGCACTGTAGCCTGGGTGACAGAGCAAGATTCTGTCTAAAACAAACAAACAAAAAGAATCTATGCAGGCCAGCAGGCCAGAGGTATAACATTTTTAAAGTGCAGAAAGAACAAAGCTCCCACCTTTGAATTCTATACCCAGTGAAAATATCTTACAAAAATTAAGAACAAATAAAGAATTTTTCAGATAAACAAAAATTGAGAGAATTCGTTACTTGAAAATCTATACTATTAATACAAGAAATGTTCAAGGAATTTTTTTTTTTTTTTGAGACAGAGACTCGCTCTCTCACCCAGGCTGGAGAGCAGTGGTGTGATCTTGGTTCACTGCAACCTCTACCTCCCAGTTTCAAGCAATTCTCATGCCTCAGCCTCCTGAGTAGCTGAGACTACAGACATGCACCACCATACCTGGCTAATTTTTTATATTTTTAGTAGAAACGGGGTTTCACCATGTTGCCTGAGCTGGTCTTGAACTCCTGAGTGCAAGCAATCTGCCTGTCTCAGCCTCCCAAAGTGCTAGGATTACAGGTTTGCACCACTGTGCCTGGCCAGGAAATTTTTAAAGTAGAAGCATTCTGATAGCAGACAGAAACTTGACTGACACAGCAAATGGAAAGTTACTCAACATAATTTACAATTACTTGCCAGGGAAGTGCAAATTAAAACCACAGTGAGATACCACTACACACCTATTAGAATGGCTAAAAACCTGACACCACCAACTGCTAGCAAGGACGGGGTACAACACTCATATCTTGCTGGTAGGAAAGTAAAATGGTAAAGCCACTCTGAAAAACAGGTTCATTCGTTTCTTTTAAAGTTAAACATGTACTTACCACTTGACCCAGTAATCTCACGGCTAGATATTACCCGAGTGAAATGAAAACTGATCTTCACACAAAAACCTGTACGCAAATGTTTAAAGCAGCTTTATTCATGACCACAAACTCCAGAAATAGCCCAAATGTCCATCACCTTGTGATCAGATCACCAAATTGTGGCATATATGTGTGAAATACTATATATATGATGAAATATTACTCATCAACAAAAAGGAATGAACTACAGATACACATAACAGCATGAATGAGTCTCAAATGCCTTCTGCTATTAATACATGAAATAAGTCAGATTCTAAACGTTTGATATGGTAGAATGGGAAAATCTTTTAAACAAATCAGGGGTTGCCAATGGCTAATGATATGGTTTGGCTGTGTCCCCACTCAAATCTCATCTTGGATTATAATTCCCATAATCCCCACGTGTTCTCAGGGGGACCAGGAGATAACTGAATCATGGAGCAGTTTCCCCCATCCTGTTCTTGTGATAGTGAGTTCTCACAAGATCTGATGGTTTAATAAGGGGCTTCCGCCTTCACTGGACATTCATTCTTTTCTCTCCTGCCACCTTGTGAAGGAGGACACGTTTGCTTCCCCTTCTGCCATGACTGAAAATTTTCTGAGGCCTTAGCCTCTCTAGCCTTTCAGAGCTGTGGGTCAATTAAACCTCTTTCCTTTATAAATCACCCAGTCTTGGGTATGTCCTTATAGCGGTGGGATAATTGACAACTGGGAATTTAGGAGCAGATGGTTATCAAAAAGGGGAACAGGGGAAGGTGCAATTTTTAGGAGTGATAGAATCATCGTGCATCTTGATTGTGTGGGTGGTGCGAGCAGTGGTTACACAACTGTATAAGATTCAAATCTCATAGAATTGTCTACTAATGAGAACTTGACTGTATATAAATCACACGTCATTAAATATATAACAAATCAATGAAACAAAAACAATCTACTCAATACAACACCCACGACTGATGTGAATGTGATCTGGACCTGAAAGCTTGATAATTTTCTTATCCTTTCATGTCAACTTTTCATCTCTGAATAAGGTAGGATCATTATAAAGGACTATTAAAAAAACTTAATAATTATAGCAATACTTGCCTGGGATTTGATCAAACATGAATGTGATTTTGCCCAGTCACAGCTGTTAAATAACTCTAAATTTTGAGCAACACATTAGCAAAGGTGATAAACAACAAAGAGTTGATCCTCACCCAACCTAACTGAAAATTCTTTCCCAGCTAAAGAGGGACGAGACTCACCTCACACAACCACATACACACAGATGGATGCATTCTGCCCAGTCCAGGGTGCAAGTTGCAATTCTTAACTGGCAAAATCACAATGAATCTCTCCTTTCTAGCACATAAAGTTCCTGATTTTTTTTTTCCCTTTGGGGATTCACTCAATTGAAACAAATAAATATAGTGCTCACATTTTCCATCAGTGGGTGGTCCTTACCGTTCCTTTAATAATACGCCCAGAAAACCACTGTCACCGCTATCCAGGTCATAAAACAGAACAGGACTGGAACCACAGAAAGAATGCATTTTCCCAAAGCACTACATTCCTGCCTCCCTAAAGGTAACCACTATCAGACTTTTAACATCGTAGACTAGTTTTGCCTTTTTATAGCGTCATACGAATGGCACCATGTGGTATAAAGAATTTTATGCCTCAATCTTATGCTTGTGGGAGTTGTCCACATTACAGCATGAGTAAGTAGCTATTCATTTTTATTAACGTAGGACATTCCATTGCATGAATATGGCACCGCATTTTTTTTTTTTTTTTGAGACAGATGCTTACTCTGTCACCTACACTGGAGTGCAAAGGCGCTATCTCAGCTCACTGCAACCTCTGCCTCTGGGTTCAAGTGATTCTCCTGCCTCAGCCTCCTGAGTAGCTGGGACTACAGGCACACACCACCACGCCCAGCTAATTTTTTGTATTTTTAGTAGAGATGGGGTTTCACCATGTTGCCCAGGCTGGTCTTAAACTCCTGGGCTCAGGCAATCTGCCCGCCTCGGCCTCTCAAAGTGCTAGGATTACAGGCACAAGCACTGCGCCCGACCGCCACTATATTTACGTATCTGCTATCACTGAACATTTACACTGTTTTTGGTTTGCACTATTACAAATAATGCTACAAGGAGCTTTCCATTACACCATGGTTTGAATGTGTCCCCTCCAAAATTCAAGTATTGCCAATGTGATAGTATTAGGAGATGGGACTTTTAAAAGGTGATTACAGCAGGGCACAGTGGCTCACATCTGTAATCCCAGCACTTTGGGAGGCCGAGGCGAGGTGAATCATGAGGTCAGGAGATCGAGACCATCCTGGCCAACATGGTGAAACCCAGTCTCTACTAAAAATACAAAAATTAGCCAGGCGTGGTGGTGTGTGCCTGTAGTCTCTGCTAACCGGGAGGCTGAGGCAGGAGAATCACTGGACCCCGGGAGGCAGAGGTTGCAGTGAGCTGAGATCATACCACTGCACTCCAGTCTGGGTGACAGAGTGAGATTCCATCTCAAAAAAAAGCAATTAAAACAGGAGGGCTCCTTTTTCTAACTGAAATTAGGTGCCCTTCTAGAGGAACCTGATGGAGGGATTTGCTCTCTCTTGCCCTTCTGCTGTCCATCCTGTGAGGACACACACAAAATATCCCTCAGTAGATGCCAGTCACTTGATCTGTGACTTCCCAGCCTCCAGAACTGAGACCTTTTTTTTGTTTGTTTTATGAATTCCTCAGCCCCAGGTATTCTGTCATAGCAGCATGAAACTGACTCAGACATGTGCCTTTTAGATGTGCATCTTTTGGGTTTCAAACCATGTGACTGTATTACCTTCAAAATTGAATCAAAATTTTAAAGTAACAAACAAATTCAGTGAGCATTTCTTTGGATTTCTTTTTGACAAGTAGTAGTGCAAATATACTCTGTGTGACAGCAGGCAGTTTTAAAGCAGCATTTTTTATTTTTACCATTGGCAATTGGAATCCAATAATTACAGTTGACCCTTGAACAACATGGGTTTGAACTGTATGAGTCCACTTCTATGAGGATTTTTTTCAACCCAACAAGGATTGAAAATACAGTATCCATGGGATGTGAAACCTGCATACACAAAGGGCCAACTCTTTAGAGGTGGTTCCAGAAGGCCAACTGCAAGATTTAAGGACGCACGGATTTGGGTATTCTCCGGCGGTCTTGGAACCAGTCCCCCTCAGATACCAAGGGACAACTGTATAATTACTGCAAAGCATTCATGATGTTTACATTAATTAAGGGTGTGGTGGTAACTACAGCATTTTTTTGCTGATTTGTAAAGAATTCTCCGTCTAATGAAAATTAGTAAACAAGGTCAAAGATGTTTTAACTGAGAAAGGAAATTAAAGGTTCATTTGAAAGAATCGGGAGAAATGCATCCTCTGAGAAGATGTAATTTTAATCTCATAAAATTCAGATACCCTCACTGTATTTTAATTCAGCTGACTAATTTATCCTAGATTATACTTTAAAATCTGAGCATAAACAAAAAAGAGGTGTGTACTCTTAGGTTGAGTATTACAATTCAGTAGAATATGTAATCAGTACACACATACACACAAATTTACAAGCCCCCAAGGCTATAACACACAGAAATCATAAAAACAATGGCTCACAGTCTTCACATCATTATTGCTGTCTCCTCTAAGGGCCACTACTAACGTAGTGCGAAAACTGTTGCCCAATGGAATAACTGTTCTTTTCTATTTGAATACAAATGTAGTCAGTGACACATACATTAACCTCTAAAACACCCATGTTTTCCATGTCTATGTCTACCTAAGACATCAGAAAACTATTTACTTAAAGAAAATGGACCAGGCGTGGTGTGCCATGCCTATAATCCCAACACTTTGGGAAGTCAAGGTGGGCAGATCACTTGAGGACAAGAGTTCGAGTGAGATGTCTCAAATACTAAAAATACAAGAATTAGCTGGGAGTGGTGGTGGGTGTCTGTAATCCCAGCTGCTCAGGAGGCTAGGGCTGGAGGACTGCTTGAGCCCAGGATGTGGAGGTTGTAGTGAGCCGAGATCATGCAACTGTGCTCTAGTCTGGGTGATGGCAGTGAAACCCTGTCTCAAAAGAAAAGAAAAGACGGCTGCATGACTGAGTGCTCAGAAAGCTACTCTGCCATGGGTTACTTCAGAAGGAGACCGGAAATGGAGATTCAAGGAGAAGAAACAGGATATAGCTCTGGAAGTGTGAGTTTTGCTGTGTTCTTAATGCACATGCTTCTAAAAAATCAGATGTGAGGATTTTCCCCAAATAAAAATATTTTTTATAATAGGATAAGGTTAGCGTAGTGATATTCACGACCATCCTCTCCCCTCCGTTGTACGGTCTTTGTGATATTCTTGACAGGTCCACCATTTTAGTGGATTAAGCCCTGCAACCTGGCTCCAGGACGAAGACTGCCTCTTCCTCCCAGAAGCCTGCCTGGGATGTACAGGGGCACCTCACCCAGCACTGTGTTCACAACTCTCTCTGCCTGCTCTCTGCTGCCCTTCTGCATCCATGCCATGCACGAGTCCATAAGGACTGGCTCCCGATTGTAACAGTTGCCCAGGAACCCCGTGCCCAGCCCAGCTCAGTTCTGTACTCACCAGGGCACTTGATCAGCTGTAACTGCTCTGGGCCTCAGCCTCTCTATGGAGCACACACACATATGCTCAGTGTGCTTCACAAGGATATAGGGAGAACTTTAGGAGAGAGAGACATGTCTTCTAAGAACCATTTTTAGTAATAAATAGCATGGGGGCAGGTGGGGTGGCTCAAGCCTGTAATCTCAGCACTTTGGGAGGTCAAGGCGGACAGATCACCTGAGGTTAGGAGTTCGAGACCAGCCTGACCAATATGGATAAACCTCATCTCTACTAAAAATACAAAACTAGCCAGGTTTGGTGGCATGTGCCCATAATCCTACAGCATTTTTTTTTTTTTTTTTTGCTGATTTGTAAAGAATCAGCGGCGGGAGAATCACTTGAACGCAACAGGCAGAAGTTGCAGTGAGCCGAGATTGCACCATTGCACTCCAGCCTGGGCAACAAGAGCGAAACTTCACCTCAATAAATAAATAAATTAAATGGGTGGGGGAATGAAACCTCATATTTTGACAATAAATTCCTCCTGGCATATATTACAGTCTGACTCATTTTTAAATGTGAATTCCTTTGTGCTATAAACATTAAGTGCTGCGTTTTCTCAATGCTGTGAGCTTTTAATTCTGCGGTATGGCTCTGTGACCGTGATTGTGAGTAGGGACGGCTGCGTTGATGTGTAGGTGGTCATCCCACGCCTTAGATGTGAGAAGTGCACTCTGGTCTGTGGTCGACAGCTAAGTTCCTCTATCTCTTTAAACCTCACTGCACCAAAGTGGAGAAGCCACAGCTGCTGTTTCCCAGTGGGTCCAGGCAGTATCTGAGGTTGGTTTGCAAACCAACCATCATTTTCTGTAGTGGAAAGAGCCTCTTTCTTTTTCTTCTTTAAGATGTAGTTTTGCTCTTGTTGCCCAGGCTGGAGAGCAGTGCTGCAATCTCGGCTCACTGCAACCTCCGCCTCCCAGGTTCAAGCAATTCTCCTGCCTCAGCCTCCCGAGTAGCTGGGATCAGAGGCGCCCGCAACCACACCCGCCTACTTTTTGTATTTTTGATAGAGCTGGAGTTTCGCTATGTTGGCCAGGCTGGTCTCAAACTCCTGACCTCAGGAGATCCACCCGCCTCGGTCTCCCAAGGTGCTGGGATTATAGGCATGAGCCCCCGGGCCTAGCCTCGAGAGTCTTTCTTCTAACTCCCAGGGGGCTTTCTCGTCCCCCCCCCCTCCCCATCTCACCTGGTAGGGCTTGTGGTCCAAATGTATGTCATCAAACACAGCTGTTGGTCACTAAACCCATTTCCCGGTTTTCCCTGACGCAGAAACCGAAGATTCCCAGCGTCCCTCGCAGCAGGCGAGGGCACGCTGACGTCACTTCCGGTTCGACCCGGCATAGCCGCTCCCACGCGCCGCGGGACGCTCCCTGCCTGGGTGGGACGCAGATGCCGGAGACCCGAGACTCGGAAGCCGCGGGTGTAAGATGGCGGTGCCGGTGTGGCCTGGGTGCTCACATGGTGGTGTGGAGGAGCCACCATCCCCAACACCAACCCACCCACTGACCCGGACCTGCATCGGACTGTGAGACCTGGGCGGACTCCCTAAAATGTGGGTGCCAGCCTCAGGTTCTTTGCCAGTATTTAGAACTCACTCGGCCTTTTGTCTTTTGATAACGATCTGGGCAAATCTGGCCCGAATGGACCAACCTTCTGCCTTTTGTGTTTCTGGGATGGCACTGTTGGGCACTGCCAGAGAGAAATCTCAAAGTCAGACATTGCGTCGTCTGGGATGCAGCTGTGCCCAGGAATCCTGGTGTGTCCCCAGTCCGGCTTTTTCTGCAGCCTTCTGGAGTGCTATTTCAGGTCTCTGGTTTTCTGAAGCCCTTGAGTCTCTCTACTTCAAAGAGAACATTGCAGTCATAGCTTGGGAACTTGTTCCAAGTGAGGGAGGGGCATCTGTGCCCACCTGTCCATCCTCTCCCACACCTAGAGAGTTCATGGCCAGCCCAGCCCTCTGGGCACTGGCTCTCAGCCAGAGACCTCTGCAGGGGCAGTACCCCACTTCATGCCCTCTTATTCCTGCACCTTTCTCTCTGCTAGAGCCTGTCTTCTGTGGATTTGGTTGTCTTGGAGAAGTTCTCTATCATCAGCAGAGCCTAGTTCCACAGTTTAAAAAAAAAAAAAAAACATAGCTTTCATGCCCTGAATACCACTTACAGAGCAGTTGCTGGGTACTTGTCATATAGGCAAAATGCAGATCTTGCTCAACTCTTCTGGTGTCTGTCTGCATTAACTGGCCATCACGCTCCCCTAGGTGAAATGGTTCTCTCTAGAGGGGTGACACAGATCATTCATAATGGGTAGCAGACATCAATCGCTATTACTTGTTTTCTTGCTGGTGGTAATGGAGACCTTCCAGGGAACCCTTACACCCCTATGTCTCTCCTCGTGGGAGGAAAACTGGGTTGTGCTCTGAAATGTCAATCAAGTCATAATTGGAGAGCTGTACTGACTCTGATGAGCTGGCCGAGGTGTCTTTTTTTCCTGAACAGCATGCCGGCTGCCATGCAGCCATTCCTCATGCAGGCAGCAGAGGGGAAAGCTGGGAGTCCACATCTTGGACTCTAACATACTGATTTTTTTCCTGCTTCTGTGGCTAAACACATTTAGAGGACCTTTTCTGAAGGTTCCTATGTTCCATCCGCATTATGCAAACCATAGGTATGTGTATGTTAGGAATGCAAGCAGCCTGTTCACATAATCTTTTTTTTTGAGCCAGAGTCTCACTCTGTTGTCCAGGCAGAAGTGCTGTGATCTTGGCTGACTGCAACCTTCGCCTCCCAGGATCAAACAATTCTCGTGCCTCAGCCTCCTGAGTAGCTGGGATTACAGGCACATGCCACCACACCCAGCTAATTTTTTGTATTTTTAGTAGAGACAGGGTTTCACCATGTTGGCCAGGCTGGTCTCAAACTCCTGACCTCAGGTGATCCTCTAGCCTCTGAACCCAAAGTGAGTTTACCACTGCGTGAGCCACCGCACCTGGCCTACATCATCTTTTGAGAAAAAAAAAAAAAAATTTGTTTATACACTTGAATGTCTAATCAGCAATTCAAAGGTAACAGGACCCAAACTAAATCCTCAGTATCCCTCCTCCCCAGCCACCTTCATCCCAGCAGGGTGTCAGCGGCAGCCCAGACCAACGATCTAGCAGTTAGACTTGACACCTCTCGTGTGCTCTCAATCAGCAACATTGCTGACTCCGCTTTCCAAATTTACCCTCATTGTACCTCCTCCCACCCACACCCCTACCCTTACCCAGACTGCCACCATCTTTTCTGGACAGTTACAGTGGCTTTCTACAGGTCACGTCTCCCCCATTGTCTTCTCTTCCGAATTCTATTTTCCATGGACAAGCTAGACTGTTTTGATCATGAAAATCTCACTGTGCTGTTCCCTGCTTACAGTAACCTCCTTTCCCTCGTGGAATCAAATCAGAAGTCCTCGCTGTGCCTGCACCAGCTGCTCTCCAGCATCTTTGCTTCTTGGGCCTGCCAGGCCAGTCCCCATCTCAGCACCTTTGCACTTGTTATTTCCTCTGCCAAGAAAGCTCTTCCCTGAGATATCAATTCCTGGAGTGGCCTTCCTTGACATCTTAGTTTCCCAGGGCTGCTGTCACCACAGACTGGATGGCGTAAACAACAGAAACATAGTCTTTCACAGTTCTGGAGCCAGAAATCCAAAACCAAGGTATCTGCAGGGCCATGCTCTCTTCCTCTGCAAGCTCTGAGAAAGAATCTGGTGGTTCCCATAAACGGTTAATATTCCTTGCTTTACAATGTGTCATTCCAGTCGCTGCCTGCATTGTCACCTGGCGTTCCCACTATGTGTCTGTGACCCTTCTCTTCTTGTAAAGACACCAGTCATACTGGATTAGGGCCCACTCTAGTTCACCATGACCTCATGTTAACTTGATTACTTCTGTGAAGACTCTACTTCAAAATAGGTGCCAGGCGTTGGGACTTCCAGATATGTTTTTGGGAGACACACTTCAATGCATAAAGTCATTCTATATCCTGTAGATGGAGAACCGCTATTTGCTCTATTACCTGGGCCTGTTTTCTTTGCCCCATGGCATTTTCACTATCTGAAACTATGCCCCAAAGGATAGTGGCAGCTAAATTAGAATCTTCCTATCCATTCTCGTTAAAACTGTGCAAATGAGCAAGGAGAGAAAACACCCATTGCTCATGTCTATGTCACATGTAGAAGGCAGAGAAAGAAAAAAGTGGCTAAAAAAAACCGTAAGACCCAGCGGAAGCAAGAGAGCACCCTAGCAATCAATGACAGAAGGAAAAGGGTGTCCTTGTTTAAAGAAACTGCCCTTCACTCTAGCAACAGAAGAGGGAGCAGTTGATCTGCACAACCAATAGGCCGCTCAGCCCCTCGTTCTCCATCGCATTGTCTCCTATTGCCAGTCCAGGGAAATGCAACAGAAATAAACAAGGACAATCACAAAGCAGAAAAGGAGAGCCTCACTTTCTGGCAGAGGGAGCCACTTTGGAAAACAGTTTCTTGAGTCCTCAAAAAATTAAACATATTATTACCATGACCCAGCAATTCCACTCCTAGGTATACCCAAGACAAATGAAGACATGTCCCCACAGAAACTTGGACGTGAATTACAGACTAATTCCTAGCAGTATTACTCTGTAAGAGCCAAAAGGTGGAGGCCAGGCGTGGTGGCTCACGCCCATAATCCCAGCACTTTGGGAGGCTGAGATGGGCAGATCATGAGGTCAGGAGTTCGAGACCAGCCTGGCCAATATGGTGAAACCCCATCTCTACTAAGAAATAAAAAAAATAGCTGGGCATGGTGACACGTGCCTGTAGTCCCAGCTACTCAGGAGGCTGAGGCAGCAGAATCGCTAAAACCTGGGAGGCGGAGGTTGCAGTGAGCCAAGAGACGGGATAGTCCCATTGCACTCCAGCCTGGGCGACAGAGGGAGACTCCGTCTCAAATTAAAAAAAAAAGGTCAAAAGGTGGAAGCCACTCAAATGCCCATCAACTGATGAATAGAATAACATGTCATCGTATATATCTATACAACAGGAGACTATTTGGCCGTAAATAGGAATGAAATATTGATTGATACTCTAACATGAGTTAACTTTGAAAACATTGCTGGGGTTCAGAAGCTGATGCCCCAAAATATGATGCTTTGTACATGCTGAACTGAAAATGGAGTTTCAAGGTCTCTCCCCTCCCTCCTGCCCCAAAGCAGAGGCTTCTCTGACATTCCCTTGTCTGCCTAAAGTCTGGGCCTACCAAAGAAGAAACAGTCACCTCCAGTCCCTTCCCTGAGTTTGCATTAACTGCACCCATGTCTCAGGAATGAAAACAGAAGTCTGTTAACACAGCTGCACAGACTTCTGTCACAAACCCCCGTCTGCTCTGCAGGCCCAGCAGACTTTGCCTCAGACCGTGGTGCATTCTGCAAGCCCTTTGAATCTTCCCCGGTCATCATTTATTGCCTCTCCACAGAACCCCTCTTCTCCCGCTCCCGTAACCTGTTCTGCCCAGATCCAAGCCCCCATTCTTCCTATAGACGAGCCTCTTCCCCGACTTTGGGGCTTGGGTCTTCATTCTGAAAGCTCTCTTGTCACCTAAAAATATGACTGAATAAATCTGTGTACCTTTTCTCCAATTAATCTGTTCTTTTGAGAGTATTTTTCAGCAAATATTCAGAGGCAAATGGAAAATTTCTCCTTCACCCATAAGCAAAAGCCAGTTACCAAGGACCACATTTTGTCTGGTGCCACTGATAGGAAAGATCCAGAATGGGCAAACGATGGGGACAGAAAGGAGGTTGGAGGTTGCCAGGGCCCGGGCTGGAGGGGCAATGAGGATGACTGCTCATGGATATGGGGTTTATTTTGGGGGATGAAAATGTTTTGCAATTACATAGTGGTGAGGGTTGCACAATTCTGTGAATGCACTAAAAATCACTTTAAAAGGCTGAATTTTATATGTGAATTACATCACATTTTTTTAATGTATGAAAAAAACATTGAAAAAAATATTTTAAAAAAACAAGGCCAGGCACACAGTGGCTCACACCTGTAATCCCAGCACTTTGGGAGGCTGAGGCGGGCAGATCATGAGGTCAGGAGCTTGAGATCAGCCTGACAAACATGTAATCTACTAAAACTACAAAAATTAGCCAGCCATGGTGATGCATGCCTATAATCCCGGCTACTCGGGAGGCTGAGGTAGGAGAATCGCCTGAACCCTAGTGATGGAGGTTGCAGTGAGCCGAGATCACGCCACTGCACTCCCAGCTTGGGTGACAGAAGGAGACTCCACCTCAAAAACAAACAAAAAACCTCTGGCAGATCAAAACCTGGTGTGGTGGCTTAAACACCTGTAATTGCAGCTACTTGAGAGACTGAGTGGGAGGGTCATTTGAGTGCAAGAGGCTGAGACCAGCCTTGGCAACAAACCCCGTCTCAAAAACAAACATAGGCCGAGGGAGGTGGCTCACGCCTGTCATCCCAGCATTTTGGGAGGTCGAGGCTGGTGGATCACTTGGGCTCAGGAGTTCGAGACCAGCCTGGCCAACATGGTGAAAATAGAAACATAAACTGGGCATGGTAGCGGGTGCCTGTAGTCTCGGCTACGAGGGAGTCTGAGGCAGGAGAATCACTTGAACCCCAGAGGCGGAGGTTGTAGTGAGCCGAGGCAACATCGCCCAGCCTGGGCAACAGAGAGACTCTGTCTCAAAACAAACAACAGATACGAACCACTGGGACAAATCCGGCTGCTATGACCGTTATAGGCTGTTGCCTGTCAATTTTACACTGGCCTCTCACTGTGCTGTGTGTTCATGCTGTATTCTGGATGTGGGGCAGGGAAAACCGCTATGTTGTAACGTCTGTAATGAGATAAACGTTTATCTAATGGGTCAAGTACGCATATATAAAGACTATAAATTGATATAATGGAAAAAATTAATTACTTAATGCCTAACTTTAGTGGAATCATGACTTCCCCACTGGCTGGAATCTGTGCAGAACGCTGCCCTGGAAGCAAGTTTAATGTCACGGGAGGTTGAAGATGTGGAGAACCATGGGCTCCTTAGCCACAGAGTGTGGTTCCATGCCAGAAAAAATGATGTAACGCAAGACTCAAAGCCAATACACCAAAATATTAACTGTGCTACCTGGGGTGGGAAGTAGATTTGCAAACTGTAGTCGTCCTTGTTTATACGTTTACTCAATTGACGTGTATATTTTGAAATTAGAAAATGTAACTTAAATAAAAAAAGACGCTTCTGCTCCCAGCACCTGGGCAGCGCGCCCACCCTCATCTCGGGGCCCCTGCGTTCTCCCCTCAGCCCGGGGCCCCGGGCCCCCTGCCCCTGCGTTCTCCCCTCAGCCTGGGGCCCCGGGCCCCCTGCCCCTGCGTTCTCCCCTCAGCCTGGGGCCCCGGGCCCCCTGCCCCTGCGTTCTCCCCTCAGCCTGGCCGCGGGGCGCTGCGCCTTAGCCATGTGGAGCCTCCTGCTCTACAGTGAAATGCAATAGTTTGCATTAAGTAACATTAGAACAAAACCCAAATCGATATTAAAAACCTCCTCCAGCACTTTGGGAGGCTGAGGTGGGTGGATCAGGAGGTCAGGATATCGAGACCATCCCGACCAACATGGTGAAACTCCATCTCTACTAAAAATGCAAAAATTTCATCCCAGCTACTCGGGAGGCTGAGGCAGGACAATCGCTTGAACCTGGGAGGAGGAGGTTGCAGTGAGCCAAGATCACGCCACTGCACTCCAGCCTGGGTGACAGAGGGAGACTCGGTCTCAAAAAAACAGAACAAAACAAAACAACAACAAAAACCTCCCAAACGTTGACTTGAAGCTTTTCTGCATATGTACCTGGGGGCAGTTCTACATTTTTTTTTTTAAGTCTGTTTCTGAATAAGCTTCAATTCCGAGGTTTGGCAATAACAGATAATTTTCAGTGAAGGAAATATTTATTATTCCCTGATCTCCTCCAGTAGGCACAGTAGGGCCCCTCCATTTGAAATCCGATTTTAGTAAAGCTTCCTTGGTTCCTTACCTAAAAAAAAAAAGAAAGACAAAGTAAAAGTAAGCGTTCCATGTATATGTCTTCAGGATGAGGAGCTGGAGTCGGGAAGGACCTGGTGTGGAGCACGCCGTAGCTGCGGAGGACAGAGCTCAGCGGGACGGCCGGCTCGCCTCGGGCTCCTTCCAGGGCCTCCGAGGGTCTCTTCTGACTCCACCAAGCAGCCGCCTCTAGCCCTGGGCTCTCACTACAGGACCTCTAGGTAAGGAAATGGCTTTACACACACACACACACACACACACTTTCACACTCACACGAGTTGCTCATATACACACATATACTTGGTCTCACACTTTCACACACACATGCACATACCCTCACACACTTTCAGACACACACACATACACTTCCTCTCATGCTCACACACATGCTCACACATTCATACTCAATTCTCACAACTTAACTCTCATACTCCTACAGCTCTCACTCACACATTTATACACACACACACATACACACACACACACACTTTCTCCCACGCTCAGGCTCCATCCCCAAAGATGGGTTTCCACTAGTTTTTCAGTGGGGCCTGAAGCATAGTGAAGTTACCTTCACACAGACAGAGTTGCGGTGAGGCCCAAGGATGCTGTTTACTGGGATTACTTCAGGGGGAGGGAATGGAATTGCATTGAACCCTTGGTTCTTGCTATGCTTTGACTGTCTGTCTCCTCCAAAACTCATGTTGAAACTTAATCCCTGCTGTGGCAGTATTGAGAGGTGGGGCCTTTAACAGGTGATTGGGGGCTGGGTGCCAGTGGCTCAGGCCTGTAATCCCAGTACTTTGGGAGGCAGAGGCAGGTGGATGACCTGAAGTCAGGAGTTCAAGACCAGCCTGGCTGACATGGTAAAACCCATGTCTACTAAAAATACAAAAATTAGCTGGGTGTGCTGGCACATGCCTGTAATCCCAGCTACTTGGGAGGCTGAGGCATGAGATTTGATTGAACCTGAGAGGCAGAGAGGTTGCAGTGACCCGAGATCACGCCACTGCACACCAGCCTGGGCAACAGAACGAGACTCTTATGTCAAAAAAAAAAAAACAAAAAAACAAAAAACCAAGTGATTGGGTCAAAGGGTTCTGCCTTTTTGAATGGATTAACCCATTCATGAACTAATGGACTGATAGGTTAATGGTTTAATGTGTTATCACAGAGTGGGACTGGTGGCTTTGTAAGAAAAGGAAGAGATGTGAGCCAGCATGCTCAGCCCCCTCACCATGTGTGCCGGCACCACCTCAGGACTCTGCAGAGAGTTCCCACCAGCAAGAAGCCCTCACCAGAGGCAGCTGCTCGACCATGGACTTCCCAGCCTCCAGAACTGTAAGAAATAAATCTCATTACTTGGCAATTAAATACAACAGAAAATGGACAGAGACAGTTCTTAAGGAATTGCCCATCACATCCAAGGCTTATCCAGAGGTGATCCTTATCTGGTTCCCCAGGAGGCTCCTGGAAGAAGGGAATGGACACTGTCCGCCACCCCATTCATTGCATGGAGGGCCCAAAGGGAGGACCTGTGGAGGGTTTTCCAGCAGCTCCCTTAAAAGGAACCAGGATCCTGGAGAGAGGTGATTGAATTACTTCCCCCAGTGCATCTTATTTGTTAATGGCATGCTGATTTCAATGATCCATGTCATCCCTGTCCCTATTACCATAAATAATGAGGCACTAGCTGTACGTGGCAGTGGCTGTCTGGAGCAGCAAAGAGCCGATCCCACAGTGTGTCTGTCCTGTCAAAAGCATGTTGGCTGTGCTTAAAAATGACACTCCAGCCTGTCCCTGCAATCCCTGTGTGCTTTCATCATGAGTCAGAACTTCAAGATGTTATTCATTCTGAAGCCATGTCAGCTCAGCTGTCAAGATAAGAGAGTTTATTGCATCTTGTATGTATGATAAACTGGAGTGACATGCAGATTTTAAGTATCTTATTCTGAAGCCATTTTAAGCTAGGCTAAATGCAGCCTGTCAAATTCACCTGCAAGGCAGGGTACACGTTAGGGACTGGGAACTGAAGGGAGACAGCAGCAGTGTGGTTGGCAGGCAGGGGAGACGGAAGGTAAGCAACAGAGAAGGGCGCTTGGGTTCCCGCTCTGCCTAGACGTGAATGGCTCGGGGGCAGGATGCATGGAGGGTCTTGCCCAGAACAGTGGATCCAGCGCTGATTCCCAGGGATCTACGGAATCCTTGAGGGGTGGGGGAGGTTGACTCACAAGATGTTTCAGGCCTTTGGAGGACTAGGTATTTGACCACAGGATGCCTTGGAAATTGAATATGTTTTCGACTTCCAGTACCACCAGTTCAGAGGTTCTGGACGGGGGGTTGGTAACTCATTCAGGGCACTGCTGTCACTTCTGGGATGAGAAAAGCCAAACTATTTTACACACTGAAGCGGATGTGTGGGGCCTGACGTTTATGCTACCCAGGAGCTCTCTTTAAAGAAAACAAAAATTGGGATACAGAATTGCTTGGGTCCCTCCAAGAAACCTACACAGAGGGCCTGTAGTGAGGGGTCCCAGTACCCCAGGCGCAGAGGACCCTCAGCCAACCAGGGCCTCATGCCTAGGGAAGGTTAAAATGTGAAGCCTGGTAATATAATAAGAAACATGTATTTGGTCTTTGTCCCCGTTCCTGGCACAGAGGGCCTAAGACCTTTGGAATCTCTGCAGTGAGATGAATGAATGTCTTTTCTGTGCTGAGATGCCTGGTGGCTGGGAGCCCCTGAACAGCTTCAGGATGAGGGCTGGTCCCAGAATAACCAATGCAGGACTGGGGGGTTGGAACTTTCAGCCCCACTCGAGGCAAATCTCTGGGGAGAGGAGACAGGCTGGAGATTGGGTTAATTACCAGTGGTCAGTGATCTAATGAATCATGCCTATGTCATGAAAACTCCATAAACATTCCTGAACACTGAGGTCTGGAGAGCTTCCAGGTTGGCAGACACACCCATGTGCTGAGAGGGCGGCACACCCTGACTCTGTGGGGACAGAAACTGCTGGGCTCAGGGCTCTTCCAGACCTAGCCTGGCTGTTCATCTGTGTCCATGGCAATAATCTGGTAATAGTAAACAAGTGTTTTCTGGGTTTCTGTGAGCTGTTCTAGCCGATTATTGAACTGAGGGAGGTGGGGATTCTAAAAACGCCCTGACTTTGTAGCCAAGTCAGAGAGAAGTGTAGGTTCCCTGAGTACCTAAGACTTGTGACTGGCATCTGCAATGTAGACAGTCTTGTGGGACTGAGCCCTGGAATCTGTTGAGTCTGACATTAGTTAGTGTCAGAACTGAATTGAATCATGGGACACTCAGCTGGTGCTGGAGAACTGGCTGGTGTGGGAAGAAATCCCAGTGTCTGAGTAAAAGCAGCTCAAGCCCATTCTTCATTTCTCAGCAGGGTGGCTTTTTTTTTTTTTTTTTTTTGGCTTTGCTGTTCCAACATTTCATTTCTCATCTGGGTCCCAATGGTCCTTTATTAAAAAGAGAAACCTTTTAACATAAAAATTGGCTCCAGATCTGAGCCACTCACTCCCCGTCAACGTCTCTGGGTTCCTCTTGGGCTCTCTGTTTAGACAGGTGATCCCAGCGAGTCTCCCAGCTTCAGAGGCGGAGAGGCTGTGATCCTCATCACAGGCAGCACATGCCACCGTGTCCCCAAGGAGCCCCCATCCGCCTTGAATTCCACCCACAGTGGCACGGAATTGGCAGTGGGCACGGTTGGCTGCCATGGCTTCCCAGGGCTGGAAGGAGACAGTTCACTGCAGGGATCCTTTTGTTTGTTCAAAACAGCATCTCACTCTGTCGCCCAGGCTGGAGTGCAGTGGTGCAATCTCAGCCCCCTGCAACCTCTGCCTCCCTGGTTCAAGCGATTCTCGTGCCTCCACCTCCCGAGTAGCTAGGATTACAGGCACGCGGCACCACATTCAGCTAATTTATTGTATTTTTAGTAGACATGAGGTTTTGCCATGTTGGCCAGGCTGATCTCAAACTACTGGCCTGAAAGTGGGGTGTTCTGGTATGGAAGGATAGGAGTTTGTGGGGTGCGTGAGTGCCTAGGCTTCCCACAGGGCAAGGGAGCTGCGGGAGGAGGAGACAGGGAGGCTGGTGTGGAGGGCCTGGGAGGCTGCACACGCAGCAGGGCCCTGGGCTTTGTCCCGAGCAGTTCCCAGGAAAATGCCGAGAGGAGGGGCGTCGCGAGGGGAGGGAGAGATATAAGATGGAAAACCAGTAGGAAGTGGCCAGGATTTTCCCACCTGGGGTAAAAGCAAAGCTAACAAACGAAAGTTGTTTGTGCAAAGTTGTTTGTGCCCTTCAGCATCCTCACAGGTGCCTCGCTCTGCCCCTGCTGGAGTTACTGTTTGGAGGAAAGGCGCTGTGCTGAGTCCCAGCGGGGGTTTTGTAAATGCCGCACAATTGGTCTCTCACGGTTCACAGAGCAATCACACTTGCTTGGTTGGCCTCCTGGAAAGCCTTACTCTCTTAATTTTTTTCTTTTGGTAGAGATGGGGTCTCACTATGTGGGCCAGGCTAGTCTCAAACTCCTGGGCTAAAGTGTTCCTCCAGCCTCCGCCTCCCAAACTGCTGGGATTACAGACCTGAGTCACTGAGCCCAGCCAGCCTGACTTTTCAGAATGATGTCACATCCTTGTGGACTGTTGAAAATAAGATTTTTTTTCCTCAGTCTCCTAGAAGCCCCAAAATAGCCATGCAGCTGTCCAAGCAGTTCTGGTTTGATTACAAGGAGCATGTATAAAATAGCTACGGGTGAATGGGGTCAGTGCAAATGGAAACTGGTGGGGGAGGCTCGGGACTCTTGGAGGTCTGCAGGAGAAAGTGCATAATGAACACACACCCATGGCCTCTCCTGATGTGCCAGGGCGTTCTCCCACACAGGCGGAAAGCGCTCTGCAGAACAAAGCGCTTTTGGTCTACAAAACGTCTCCCAGCTCTTGCCTGCAAAGGGAAGAAAGGATAGCGGAGGATCATTAAGCAGAATGCCGAGAGATTGATGGAAACCCCTCTGATAGCTCAATCTAATTGCAGCATCTTCCCGTGTGCGGAATGCTGCTAATGGACAGGCGTTCCTGCCAGCACTGATGATGCTAGGCCTCCTCAGCACTCAGCCCAGGGCAGCCAGGAAGAATGAATGGTGATTCAGAGGGACAGGAGGAAGCTGCGTGGCATTTCAGAGATACTTATTTTAGAATTGCTGGTGGCCATGTCTTCTTTTCCTATCCAAGCTAATAATGAGTTTTGATATGTGAACATTTCTTCTCCTTCCTAGGTAATGTGTTGATGTGGCACTTTGATCTTAGAATAATCGTTTCTAAAACCAACCTAGGTGCTTTTCTCTAGTGTTGGCCTTAGCTAACAGATGGATCCGTTGACTTGAGCACTGCTTGGGCATTGTCTGTGTGCAGGTCAGGCAGGGGATGTGGCGAGCGGCTGGGAAGCAGAAGATGGAGGTGTCTAGGGTGCACATGGAGGGGTGGGGTCAACTCCACAGGGGGTCGGCCCCTAGCCTCAGTCAGGGAGGGCTTCATGGAGGAAGGGAGAGTTGAGTGAGAACGTTGTTCCCAGGTAAGAGGGAAAAGCATCCAGGGAGAGGGGGCTGCTTCTGGGAAGACCAGAGTCATCACCTCATGGACTTGTAAGGTGGTTGGGAGGAAGAGAGACCCCAGGGAAAATAACAGGTTCCACTGACAGGAGGCCTGCTGGGGGCAGTGGCGGGGGAGGCAGGCTGGCAGTGGAGTGATGGCTGCGGGCCCAGGGGGCTGCCTGACAACAGGTGTGTTGGCCAGGATCCCTGTAGCAAAAACAGGGGGCTGAGGACCTCATGTCAGATGAACAGATCCCTGGAGAAATGAGTAGGTAGCAGCCACAGGGGCAGCTTCCGGGTAAGAGGGGGCTGCTAGGCCAGAGCATGGGCTTCATGGGAGGGTGCTGCCACCCGGTCACCCTGCGGGGACCACGTGCGGGGAGACCCAGGGTGGCATGAGAACAGTCGCCTTGCCCTCTTGCTCTCAGCCTCCTGTAGCTACCCTCACTCCCTGCCCTGCCACACAAGGTCAGACCCACTTGGAGTCAGAAGGTGAGGGGCGAGGTCGCAGGGTGAGGAGCAGGGATGGTGCCGCCTGCTGCAGAGTGAGACCTGGGACTGGCAAACGCAAAGTGACCGGAGCATTCCAGGAGCTAAGGAGGCCTGTAGGGGAGGAGGACGGCGGCTGGCAGTGACAGGAAGGGAGGGCCAGCATGGGGTGGCAGTCCCAGAGCTTGGGGCTCCCTGCCGGCCAGCCTTTGTGGCCTGGGAGGTGGAGGTGGCAATTGCTGCCGTATCATAAACACTTCAAGCTCACACTGAAATCTTCAGTGTGTGGCTAGGGAGCAAATACATGTGCAGGTGTCTGAGACCTGTGCCCTTACCTAACCTCGGGGAGTAAGAAAACGAAAGCTCACCATGTAAGCACACCAGCAGTAGCCTATGTGTGTCTCCACACTGGAAACCCCAAAACACAGGCTGGAGGCAGAGTTGATTTCCAAGCCGAGTGCTGACAGCCTTTGGGTTTTACGTCTGCTTGCTTGGAGCTCAGTGATAGAGATCTCGCCCCCAGAAGAGGAAGGGACTGTCTTGCATAACTGGCATACCCAAGGAATGCTTCAGGCGCAGCTAGATCCAGGCATCCTCAAATAGTGTGACGAGGACTCTGCTTTCCTTTCTTACCCTAGCATGGCTCTGCCCTGCTCTGTGTTGTTTTTAGACAAGGTCGAGCCCCAGCAGCTCTGGTCCCCTTGACATGATCCCAGAGAAGAGCCAGCCCTTCCCTCCTGGGGTCTACCCTGTCCCCTGTGGGATGTCAGACTAGACTGAGGAAAGGTCTCAAGCAGGTCATGTGAAGGGCTTTGCACAGGAAACACAGAAACAAGGGGATCCTGTAAGGTCAGCAGAGCTCTGACTCCTTTACCTCCTCAGGAAGCTTCAGCTGCAGAGGAGCAGAAGGAAGATCCACAGATAAGGACGAGGAGACGTTAGAGGAAGGGCAGGAGTGCAGCATGGACCTGCCAGGGAGGGAAGGGGAGAGTGAGAAGTCAGCCCTGCCTGCACCCCCCACCCACACCCTGGCCCCTTCCCAGCAGAATTGGTGACACTTTTTTTCTTCCCAATGCCTTTCACATTTCCAGAGCAGCTCAGGATTGCTCAGTAGATAACCGGTTTGGGGTTTTTATCCTTTTCTTCCTAACGACAAGGCTCCTGAGAACAGGAGCGGCTGCCATCTGTAGGGTATTCATCATCCTCCTGCATCGGGGAAATGAGTCATTTTAGCAAAAAATGTAGAACTTCCATGAAATTCAAATTGCAGTACGTTGACAAGAATTATAATGTTTGCAGAGAGTGTCATCTAGAAGGCTGAAGTGGTCATCCGAGAGAAATGGCTGCCGTTGCCAGCAGGGTCTGACCACCTCACTAGGGTGGACAAGGCTGAGGTTGCCTCTTAATTGTTTTCCACTCTTTTGGCTCCTGAACATTAAATAAGACAGAGGAAGCAGGAAGGTGGGGAGAGAGCACACCTGCAAGTAACAGTCACCATCCAAGAGAGTTATCAGCCGAGTAGGCAGAATTCTTGCCAATTTAGTTGACTGTGCATGGGAGGGGAAGTTTCCAGGGCCTTCTGGAAATAGGATATTTTTTCTCTGTTTTTTTTTTGGAGATGAAATCTCACTCTTGTCCCCCAGGCTGGAGTGCAATGGCGCAATGTCAACTCACTGCAACCTTCACCTCCCAGGTTCAAGTAATTCTCCTGTCTTAGCCTCCCAAGTAGCTGGGATTACAGGCATGTGCCACCACACCTGGCTAATTTTTGTATGTGTAGTAGAAACGGGGTTTCACCATGTTAGCCAGGCTGGTCTTGAACTCCTGACCTCAGGTGATCCTCCTACATTGGCCTCCCAAAGTGCTGGGATTACAGGCGTGAGCCACCGCGCCTGGACAAAACAGGATATTTTCTTAAAGGGGCCACCAATGATACCCTTTGGTCATTCCAAAATGACCTATCTGGGCCTGAAGCCCCTGGTCAGTCTAGTTCCTAATCCAGAGAAAAAAATTCCCTGACAGCAGGAGGGAATAACCGTTCCAGGTAATAGCAGTTGTTCAAATAACAGCAAAGGCAAATAGGAAATGTGTTGCCAAGCTGCTAACAATTGCCCTAAACACGAATTTTGCCTCTAAGCTCTTGTAAGCCATTGGTTGTACTGAAAAGTTCTAAGTTCTTTGTGCCAAGGCTTGAGAAGCCCACGATGGGGCCACAGGCCGACCTTTTCTCAGAGTGCGGGAAATGAGAGGGTCATCCCTTTAGGTGGCAGGATGGCTCAGAGCCTCTGTGCCCACAGCCACCAGAATGAGCTCCCCTTGGGGTCATGGACCCAGTATCTCAGTTGAGTACATGGTCACTTTCACCAAGGCTGGCAGGCACTGCGTGACTTCCCCCAGATGCTGCGCTGGAGTTGGAATGATTTAGTGGTCGTGCACACGAGTGCCCCAGGCCCTTGGGCAGCTGGGAGCATGGGCTGGCACTTCCTTGTTGGGAGGGAGCCACCCTGCACCTGTGGGTGGGTCCTGTCCTGTCAGCCTGGCAGGCAGGTGTGGCTTGTGGCAGGGTGAGCCCCTGGCATGGACCTGCTCGTTTCCCCAGGTGAGAGTTTCTATGTGGCCAAGGGTCACCAGGAAGTGACAGCCTACGCTGAGCAAACCCAAGCTCAGGGTTCATGTTGCCCCAGCAGAATGTGCAGATGTGCTCTGCAGGGAGGCATTTTTCTTGGTTGGCTGACACTCTCTGGAAGGGGGTGTGGGCCAGGCCAGTGTGCTCAGCAGCATCCCAGAGCACTGCTCAGGCCATCCCAGCAGGGACTCCAGTGTGCAGTCAGCGTGCTCCCGCCAAGACTGAACCCACATTTCCTGCCCCCTCCTTTCCTGCTCCCAGGTGGGGCTGTTGTCAGGGAGGGAAGAACGGGGAGGACAGCATGGGAGGCTTTTTCAGGGCCGGGCCTGGGAATGAGCCACAGTGAGGGGTGGCGTGGATCACCTGGCCCCACTAAAGGCCAGGGGTGAGAGGGATGTCCAGCTGTGCCCTCCTGGGAGGAAGGTACGCTCTGCCATGCATTGCCTCAGGTTTTTAGGCAACTGTGAGCATGGGCTGGGGCTTCCTTGTTGGGAGGGAGGCCCCCTGCACCTGTGGGTGCGTCCTGTCCCGTCAGCCTGGCAGGCAGGTGTGGTCTGGGAAGGGAAGGCATGCTCTGCCATGTGGTGTCACCACCAGCTGGTAACTAACTGTTGGGGAATTTATTGAAACAAGTGAAAGAACCCCACCCTCCCACAACAATCACCTGCCTTTGGTGACGCTGAGCCTGGCCCCAAAACCCGATCGTCCTCTCCTGGTCTCACACTAAATGGAGATGCATTGCTCCTCCAAATTGCAACCAAGATCACTGAGGAGAAGCTGACCTGCAGCGGGCACACACATGGCAAAGAGGAGCTGAAGCCACTCGGGGGCTGTGCCTGCTAAGGAGGTGGCTTGGTTTCAGTTTTCAAAGCAATGGCCACTTCCCTGTATCAACCTGCTTGTCATGTGCCTGGCTTTGCTGCTCTCGGCTCTGCAGATTGTGGTCTCAAACTTCCTTTTGAAGAACGTCACTGACGCTTCTGGCCTCACTTCTTCAAAGAGGCAGCTACAGACACTCTCTCGGGGGCCTGGCTGCCTGTTTCTAGGGGCTGGGCCTCAGGCTTGGGCTCTGCTTCAGCAACGCCACGTGACACCGAAGGGCCTCACCCATGCCAGGGCCCACCAGCGGCTGGGGGAAAGGCCAGGCTGGCGTGACCCTGATTCTGCAGATGGGATTTTTAGTGACTCTGCTAGGAACTGACATAACAAAGCCACTGACACAGGGATGACACTTACCAGCACCTCACGAGAGCAGGCCTGCTGTAAACCCATGCAGCTGCTCCATAAAGTAGACGCTATCATCATGGTCTGCCGGAACGCTGCGGGGAGAGGAGTGACTGGGCTGCAGCATGCATGGATAAGGGTAGGGGAAGGGAGGGGTGGAGCATGCGTGGAGGAGGGGAGGGGGAGGGAAGGTGTGAGCCGGCGGTCCAGCACTGCATTGCCCCGCTCCACTTTCCTCCAAGGCTTGGGTCTGCGAGGGCTGGAGCCCTTCCTCTCTGGGATGGTCACAGCCTGGTCCTGTGAGCAGTGGACTGTGGATACCTCCTGCTCCTGAGAGAACCCAGCCCTTCGTGAGGAGTCAGGGAATAGATCTACCATGCCAGCCCAGCCCTGTGCTGCCAGGCAGGGGCCTGTCTTTCTAGAAGGTGGGAGTGTGGGCACAGGCTGACCGGCCAGCCTGCAGAGTTCCCTCCTCAACTGCACCCTGGAATAGGGAGAGAGGGGCCTAGGGCACTCATAGGCCCTAGGCCCCTTGGCTCCCTTCCACCCTCCTGGTGATCTGTCCTTGCATCCACTGGGAAACCCAAGTGACCACGCCTTGGAGTATTTCCACCCATTTTTCCTTAATGGCCCCCCAGTGTATGCTTGGGGAAACTGAGGCTGGTAAGGCTGTAGGACTCATCACACACAGCAAGGGCCAGAGGGTACCTGTCCAGGGGAAGACCAGGCTCTTCCAGGCTCATGGCCCCAGCCCATGGCTGCAGAGACAGAGACTTTCCACTTAGGTGGACACTGATGGGTCCTGTTCCCACTGCGAGTTCACATCCTCCTCCCAACTCCAGCTGGGACCTGCCCTGGGACTGGGAAGTTGTATTTTAAGTCTTGCCCTGCCTCAGTCTTCCCCCAGGAATCCTGCTGGCTATGACAGGAGGCACACGTGTGGCTCTTTTGTGCTTCTGATTGGCATCTTAAGAGTACTGGCTGGGAGTCGGGGGATCCTGGTGTCTGCCCTGGCTCTGCCCAGCTCTATGTGTGTGTCAGCCAATGGGATGCTCTGTGCCTCAGTTTCTCATTGTTTTTGAGATAAGGACTCGCTCTGTTGCCCAGGCTGGAGTGCAGTAACATGATCAAGGCTCACTGCACCCTCGACCTGCTGGGCTCAATCCATGATCCCGCCTCGGCCTCCTGAGTAGCTGGGATTACAGGCGTGTGCCAACATACCCACCTAATTAAAATTTTTTGGTGGGGGTGGGAGCTGGATGTAGTGGCTCATGCCTGTAATTCTAGCACTTTGGGAAGCTGAGACAGGTGGATCACTTGAGGTCAAGAATTCAAAACTAGCCTGGCCAACATGTGAAACCCTGTCTCTACTAAAAATATTTTTAAAAATTAGCTGGGTGTGGTGACAAGTGCCTGTAATCCCAGCTATTCGGGAGGCTGAGGCAGGAGTTGCTTGAACCTGGGAGGCAGAGGTTGCAGTGAGCTGAGATTGCACCATTGCACTCCAGCCTGGGCAACAAGAACAAAACTTCATCTCAAAAAAAATTTTTTTTTTTTTTTTTTAAGAGACAGGATCTCTGTATGTTGGAGATTGGTCTTGAACCACTGGTCTCAACCAATCCTCCGCTCAGCCTACCAAAAGTTTCTCATCTTTAAATGGACTCTGACACTGGCCTGGGATCTCAAGCTGGCATCCCATGAACTGGACCCCACGGGAACCTGCTTTTCGGAAGGAAGTCAGAGGTAGGTGCTTCCCCGGCTCTTAGCCCCGCCTCTTCCTGTTTGCAGCCCCTGGCACCCACAGCACCTCCTAAGACCCCACATTCCCTGCTGAGGGTTGCCACATTGTATGCTGACCGTGCAGACCATTGGAACCTTCCCTGGGCAGGTCAGGGTCCTGTCACCACATTGTCTAGAGGATAGCAGGTGCTCCTGAAGCATTTCTGAATTGGACCATATGTGAAATGTACACCAAACGGGTTTTAATAACCTATTGCTCCTGGAGTAATCGAATTCACTGCTGTTGAACCCCCCCCGGGCCTGAGGAACTGGCTCAGATGAGACTGAAGGAGACTGAAGGCACATGGACCTGCAAGCATTGTGGACCCTGCGCTGGATCTTACGGAGGGGAAGTGCTAGACAGGGTGTCCATGAGCCAAACGACTAAGTGGAATATGAGCAGACAGATGCACGCATGCAAGTTGCATTTCCTAAGGCTGGAGCTGGAACGGCAGAGTAAGGAGCTTAGCAAATCCTCTCCCTAAAAGGTATCAGCAAAACGGAACCACCAGTCCAGGACTGCAAAACAGCCAAAAGCATACAGCACGTTCAGACGTTTGCTTAAGAAAGAAAACCCTTGTGTGAGAAAAGGGGTTTTTGCCTGGGCTTCTTCTAGCCCCACTTCTCCCCAACCCCCACCCCGTTCTGGAGATCTGCTAGGCAGGGGAAGCCATGGGGCCCAGCAGCTTTACTGTGTGCTGGGGCTGGCTGGATTTGAAGCAGGTCTAGTGGCAGTCTTGGGAAAGGCCAATGTTGTAGCTAGCCTCAGGTCCTAACTGGAGTTGGGCAAACATCAGACCAGCAGACTAGTCAGAAATCTGGGAGATTTGGAGAATGAGAACCGTAGTGGGCCTTGGTAAGTGCCCACATGTCCATGGCAGTCTGGAAGGCCAGGTTGTGTGCAGGGCTGTGCATAACACCCAGGAGAGACTGCAGAGACCTAGCTGTCTATAGAGTCAGCCCCCTTTCTGTGGATTCAACCAGCCATGGATCGACAATAGTAAAAAATGGCGAGGGAAGGTGACTCACGCCTATAGTCTCAGCATTTTGGGAGGCCAAGGTGACCAGATTACTTGAGCCCAGTAGTTCAAGACCAGGCTGGCTAGCATGGTGAAACCCTGTCTCTATATAAAATATAAAAATTAGCTGGGCATGGTGGCATGCACCTGTAGTCCCAACTACTTGGGAGGCTGAGGTGGGAGAATCACTTGAGCCTGGGAGGGGGAGGCTGCAGCGAGCTGAGATGGTGCCACTGCACTCCAGCCTGGGTGACAGAAGGACACTCTGTCTCAAAAATAATAATAATACAGTTTTGGGGGGAACATAAGAAATCGGAAAGGTTAATGGGTACACAAACAGAGTTAGATACAATGAGTAAGCTCTAGTATTTGATAGCACCACAGGGTGCCTACAGTCAGCAGTAATTAGCTGTTCATTTGAGAATAACTGAGGAGCATAACTGGAATGTTAACAACACGAAGAAACAATGAATGCTGGAGGTGATGGATATCCTATTTACCCTGATGTGATTATTACATATTACACACCTGTATCAAAATAGCTCATGTACTCCACAAATATATACACCTACTAAATACCCATAAAAATAAAAATGCAAACACAAAATACAGTGTGGCAACTATTCATAAAGCACTTACACTGTGTTAGGTGTAGGTAGCACAGTGGTGATTTGACGTCTGTGAGAGGACTGCACAGGTTAACACAAGTACTGTTCAATTTTCTATAAGGAAACTGGCTATCTGCCGAGTTTCAATATCTCTGGAACCAAATTTGGGGTTCTAGAACAAATCCCCTGTGGCAACCAAGGGTTGACTATATATCTCTGGCTGAATGTGAGGCCTTGTGCCTGTCCAGAGGAGATGTGAAACCTGACGAAATGTGAAAGCTGGGGCACATTTGTGCACTGCCTGAACTCTAAATGCATTCCCTAAACCACACACAGATCCACTGGCGAAGCGTGGAAGCCTTACTGGTTAAAGGTGTTTAAGTCCATTTGACCAATCATTGGCTGACCACACACGCTAAGCCACAGGCAACTACTAAGAAGATAGACTTGAAAATAAAAATGGCCAGGCATGGTGGCTCATGCCTATAAACCCAGCACTTTGGGAGGCTAAGGTGGGTGGATGACGTGAGGTCAGGAGTTCAAGACCAGCCTAACATGGTAAAACTTCGTCTCTACTAAAAATACAAAATTAGCTGGCCATGGTGGTGCATGCCAGTAATCCTAGCTACTCAGGAGGCTGAGGCAGGAGAATTGCTTGAACCCAGGAGGTTGCGGTGAGCCAAAATCATGCCCTTGCACTCCAGCCTGGGCAACAAAAGTGAAACTCCATCTCAAAAACAAAAACAAAAACAATAAAACCTTAAACTGAGCAGAAACATCAGTGACTGCACGCTGAGGGAGAGACTGAGACAGATTCTATCGGAGTTCTTCAGTGAAGTCATGAACACAAAAATACAGCAACAGTCCCTTGGGGCTGAGGGGAAGGAGTAGAATCCAGAGTTGCTACAATATTACCTAAAGCGTCCGGTTTTTAAAATTATGAGACATGCAAAGAAACAGGAAAGTGTGATCCCTGGTTGGTTAGTGAGTGGGGAGGAAGCTAGCAATAGACATTGTCTGATGGGGCCCAGATGTTTGAATCTAGTAGACAAAGATTTCAAAGCAGCTTTGATAAAATTAAGAACTAAAGGAAACCATTTTTTATTTGACACTTTTTTTGGAGTGACACAGTCTCACTCTGTCACCCAGGCTGGAGTGCAGTGGCACAATCTCGGCTCACTGCAACCTCCACCTCTCAGGTTCTTGATTCTCAGCCTCCTGAGTAGCTGGGACTACAGATACATACCACCATGCCTGGCTATTTTTTTTTGGGGATTTCACCATGCTGGCCAGGCTGGTCTTGAACACCTGAGAGGTGATCCACCTGCCCAAAGTGCTGGGATTACAGGTGTGAGCCTCTGTGCCCTGCCCGTTTTTAAAAAACTAAAGTATGAGAGCAATGACTCATCGAATACAGACTATCAATAAACAGGGATTGTAAAAAAATTCTAGAGTTGAAAAGTACCATAACAAATATTTACTAGAGGGATTTAATAGCAGATTTGATTTGGCAGGAGAAAGAATCAGTGAACTTGAAAGCAGATTAATAAAACCCATCCAAATTAAAGAAAGAAAAGAAAATGAACAAAAAGTCCCAGAGTGAAAAGAAAGGGAAGAAATGTTTGAACAAACAGCAAGACAGTCCCAAATTTGGGACACACCAAGAAGCATAACAAACTCCAAATATGATTAACAGAAAGAAATCCATAGCTAGATGCATACAGAGTTGAAGGACAAAAATAAAATTTCAAAACAGAGAAGGAAAAAAACCTCACAGCCTCATCACACACAAGGGAAGAACTATGTTTAACAGCTGTCTCAAGTGAAGAAGAATTAAAATGACGCACTCAAAGTGCTGTAGAAAAAATATTGATTAACCAAAAATTCTTTAGCAAAACTGTCCTTCAAAAGTGAAGATAAAACAAAGACTGAGGAAATTCAATGCAAGCAAATCTTTCTTATAAAACATACTAAAGAAGTCCCTCAGGCTGAAAAGAAATGACACCAGGAGATAACCTGAATATAACCCAAGCGTACTAGGAAATTCCTACATTTCTTATATGCTCTATGTAGTTATTTTATAGTATGCTTTTAATTCCTTTATTTTTTTATTGCTTCATTCTTTTTTGTTTTAATTGGTTGCTCTAGGAATAAAGACAGCAACAAAGGAGAAATAAGAACAAAAAACCCTGAGTCAAATAATCATTAAATAGACAAGTGGCAGGAAGAAATTAAACCATATCAATAGTTAGATTAAATATAAGTGGATTAATCACTCCAATCAAAAGGCACAGATAGTAATAAAACAAGATCCAACTATAGGCTGTGTATAAAGAGACACTGTTTAGATTAAAAGACCCAAATAGATTAAAATTAAGAATGGAAAGATATCATACAAAAAGGACCATAAGAAAATTGCAGTGGCTATTCTAATATCAGTTAAAATAGACTTTAAGACAGAAAACATTGCTAGAAACAAAGAGGGATATTTCATAATGGGCATAAGGAAGATACAGCAATTATAAACATACATGTTCCTAACAACAGAGCTCCAAAATATGTAAAACCTAACTAACAGAACTGAAGGAAGAATAAGGCAATTCAGTAAGTCAGAGACTTCAATACCCCACTCAGTAACTGAGAGAACTAGGCAGAAAACAAGCAATGATACAGAAGACGTGAAGAACAGCACCAAAACCAACTTGACTGATCCTTTATCTACAGAACACCCCACCCAACAACAGAATACATATTCTCTTCAAGAGCACATGGAGCATTCTCCAGAGAGACCTTGTACACAATCACAAAAAAAGTCTCAATGAAGAGGATTCAGGTAACACAATGTTTATCTGATAACACTATGTTTTCCCATCAGAATACAGTTAATTACAACCAACAGAAAGATATTTGGGAAAGCCCCCAATATTTGAAAAATTTAAAAATTACTTGCAAATAACTCAGGGGTTAAGAAATCACAAGGAAAATAGAAAATATTTTGAACTAAATGGAAATGTAAAAATATCAACATTTATGAAACCCAGCTAAATGGTGTCTAGAGGGAATTTATAGCTTTAAAATGCCTATTTTAAAAATATCTGAAATCACTAAACCAAGGTTCGTTCCTCCTTCAAAAATTAGAAAAAGAACAAACGGAACCCAAAGCAAACAGGAGGAAGGAATAAAGACTAGTGCAGACTTCACACAATGAGAAATAGAGCCAGGAGAAAAAATACATGAAGCCGGAGTCAACTGTTGTGACGCTTTCTGAGGCTAAGTGTACTGCAGTTATGGAACACCCTTGTTGTTAGGAACTGCGCATCATTCTGCAACCGTATGCTCAGATGTTTCAGAATACTGTTACAGGCAGAAAGGTTTATGTTCCCTAAAATTCATAACCCCCACTGTGCCTGCATTTAGACATGGGGTCTCTAAGGAAGTAACTGAGGTTGAATGGGGTCCTAAGGGTGGGCACTGATCTGAAAGGATCAGGGTTCTTATGAGACACCAGAGGGCATGTCTACCTTCTCCATGCACATGTATCAAGGACAGGCCAGTGAGGACAGAGAGAAGGTGGCTGTTTACAAGTCAGGAAGCGAACCCTTACAAGAAACTGACCATGCAGCCTTCCAGCCTCCAGAACTATAAGAAAGTGCCTGTTAAGTCACCCAGTCTATGGCATTTGGTTACAATACCCAACCTACTTATCTACCTACCTAGAGTGCACTGCACAGGTGGAAAATTGGTAACACTTAGGGAGTCTGGGTCAAGGGCAGAAGGAAGTTCTCTGTATTATCCTGGCAAACGCTGTGTTATCCTTGCAACTAGGTGTGAAAATATGCTAAAAAAAAATAAAAACAAACCCTTCTCCTACCTGGGTGGTGAACACCATGTTGCTGGGCTGTGACGGGCTGGAGGCTGCGCTCTCCTGGTTCCCTGACTTGAGGCGAGCGCCTTTGGTGTAGCCCTGTCCTCCCTGAACAGGGTTCTTCGCCTCTTTCCCACAATGTCATCAAGACGTTGGACGCTGACCCACTTTCCACTTTCTCCTGGTGCCCACCCTGCATCTCCTGTTGTCTTCCTTGGAAAGGCCACAAAAGTGTTTCAAGAGGACTCAGGTCCAAGACGGGTCCCTGGAAAATTTGCAGTTTGTGCTGTCATAAATGTGGCACATTAATGGTTGCTAAAACTGGGGAGCAACTCCTCAAGGCTTGGTGGGAGCACTTCAACTGTGTTGAAATATTCAAAAACATGGCCGGGCACCGTGACTCACGCCTATAATCCCAGCATTTTGGGAGGCTGAGGTGGGCAGATCATCTAAGGTCAGGAGTTCGAGACCAGCATGGCCAACATGGTGAAACCTCATCTCTATGAAAACACAAAAATTAGCTCGCTTGGGGACCGGTGCCTGTAGTCCCAGCTACTTGGGAGGCTGAGTCAGGAGAATCACTTGAACCCCGTAAGTGGAGGTTACAGTGAGCCGAGATTGCATCACTGACCTCCAGCCTGGTAACAGAGTGAGACTTTGTCTCAAAAAAAAAAGAAAAAAAAAAAAAAAAATCAAATACATAAGAACCAAATCCTGTCCCCTACTGGCAGCAGCACTGGATCCTACTGACCAAGCTTCCACCCTCCTCCCTGGGCCTATCAGGAAGAAACCAATGGGCAGGGCGCAGTGGCTCATGCTTGTAATCCCAAGCATTTTGGGAGGCCAAAGTGGGTGGATCACCCAAGGCCAAGAGTTTGAGACCAGCCTGGCCAACATGGTGAGACCCTGTATCTACTAGAAATACAAAAATTAGCCGGGTGTGGTGGTGCAGTGAGCCAAGATTGCACCACTGCCCTCCAGCCTGGGTGACAGAACGAGACTCTATCTCCAAACAAAAAGAAACCAACGCAGCCCTAGCACTGTTCTCTGCACGTACCCTCTAGTAAGGAGCAGGCTGCTAAGACACTCAGTTTTGATTTAAATCACTCAGATTCAAATGTTTCTGAAAGCCCGTAGTTTCTCACTACAACTGCAACTTCCACTCGGTAGGTATCAAGACGGGGGCTGCTCCTCAGGTCTCAAGCTTTGTCCTTTCCGCCTAGCTCCTGCTCATCCTCAAGCTGTCCTTATCCAACACTGAAGACGCTCATTCTCGGAAGTGCTCTGGGAAACCCCTGTCTTCAAAATCCTCTCTAGGAACCCCACTGCCCTCATTCCAGCCTGTTTCGGCCACACCCCCATTGACAAGAACCGAAGGGTTGCTAGGGTGAATACCAGGCACACCCCTCAACACTAACCAGCAGCATACTGACCACATCAGGTTCCACGTTTTCCTTCCTTGTTTTTTAAGCGTATAAAATGATTTATACCCGAATGTTTTCAGATCCACCTAAGACCAGGAGATGACTGTGGACAAACAGATCAAACTGCCTGAAAACTTTCTGGTGACAAGCCAAGGCACGAACACACTGAAACCACCACCCGCGCATCCACCTCTTCCTATTTTTTCATGGGCGAGTGCCAGAGGAGGACGTTCCACATGGGGGGCTCTGCTGTGTCTCACGACACCTTACACATCTTCCACACCTGGCACTGTGCCAGTAGGCAAAAAACTTGGTGCAGTGAAACTCAATTTTTAGTCTTTATTGGCATGTGGTTTCCTAGACAACTGTGAACACAATTCCCTCAGAACAGCCTATGCTGCAGAGGGAGGGAAGGGAGCGTGCCAGGATATAGAAGGCTCATCTCAGTTGCTACAGATCTATTCTGAGCACCTCATTTGTGTCAATCTCTGGCTAACCTGAGTGATCACTCATCAGCTGGGGGAAACAAGCGCTAGGGGCACCTTCATGGCCACTGGTAAAGCCCTCATTACCTACACAGTAGACATGGAAAACAAACATTTAGAGTTTTATCCATTTTAATTTTGAATTAGAAATCTTGCAAGTTTAATATATACCTTCTTAGTGAATCCCCACTCCCACCCCCACCCACCACCAAAAAACCCCCAACTCCAAACCAAATGGCATTTCTGCATCTTGGGTAATAGCACCTTCACTGTGAAGTAGTTTGAAAGGAAAGCACACATGAGTAGGTAATTGAGTCAAAAATGTCACTG